TTATCGCGCTGTAGCAGAATTTAAGAATATTCGTCGTGCGCGGATTAACACAATACACCATCCAAACTTATGGTATTGGCTATTGTCAATTTGAAAAAGAGAGCAATGCTCGAATAATGGACACAAAAAGTATTCACTTTCTAGCGAAAAATACAATCGTTAACCACTGAAAATTTTAAAGCAATGGTTCCAGTAGTTGAAGAGAAAAGTGATTTTTTCATAACGATAAGAAGAAAAATACCAAAAACAACAAAATAATAAAACGATCTATAGTTGCATTTCGTGCCCAGTGTAGTCCACTCAGTGTAGATATCGTAATCAGATATTATTCATATAGTAATGTAATATATTAAAAATATGCTTTTATTCGATAGAATGTGAACCCATCATTCGTTTTCCTGAAATGTCGTTGCTGTTGCTGTCGTTCTTTCTGGGTAGTTACTCTTGTTTTCTTGCTGTGAAATAAGAATCGCTTTCTCCACAGTCGATGAGAAACTACATTCAATTTCATTATCAATGGTCGTACACTTGCAGTCTTGCTCGGTGTTGTGATTAGTATAAGGAAGTTTTGTGTTTTTTTATTCGATCATTGATCTCCTGTATTATTTGTCTCAGGTTCGTGCATCAACAAAGGTAGCAATCTGGGTTGACAACTCGTTGGTTCATGTTACTTTGATAATGGGTCATTGAAAATTTGGAGTGTAATGCTTACCATTTTAGATATATATACATTAAATTTATATTGCATGTAAAATGCAATTTGTGGCGCTCTAAACCAACATTTCTTAGAAGTTGGTCCGAAGCTTGCCTCGTGAATAAGTTCAGTTGCTATAGATCACATACAAAGCACCAAAGAGTCTTTCTTTCTCCATGATCCTAGTCCAGCGAAAATTAGACAACAAATTGATAAATTGGATGCGCGTAAAGCTGTTGGTAGTGATGATACACCTATTTTGTCTCAAATTTTTAAACAAAGTTTCCATGATAGCGTGTACCACGAGGTTATAAAAATAGCGAAGATGGTGCCACTTCATAACAAAGGGTCTAAAATATGATCCAAATAATTATAGGCTTATTTCTTTATTGTCGCAAGTTGCGAAAATATATGAGAATATTTTGTAAAATCAGATGAAAGTGTTTTTTTGAAAAAACAGGTGCTTTGAGTCTGTCCCAGTTTGGTTTTAGAGATTCTAATGTTATTCTAATGAACTAGCAATAGCTAGGCTTTAGGAAATGATAATGAATAATAGTGCAAATAACAAGATCGGAATTTTTTTGGACCTGACGAAAGCATTTGATACCGTTATCCACTCAATCTTACTTGATAAATAACGCCATTAGAGGGAATTCATTTAATCCCATGGCGTCATATTTGAGCGGCGTCAGCAATATGTTCAGAATAGCGAATAGGTATCTGAAATGGGCTTTATCATATGCGGAGTTTCACAGGGTTCCACAATTGGCCCTCTGCTATTTTCATGTTATATAAATGACCTACCAACTGCATCTTTTTTTTATTTAACGCTATTTACAGATGACACTTCCCTGTTGAAGTCCGCCTCATCTTTGTCCGAACTTGAGACTGTAGTGAACACTGAAATACAAAATGTAGATATTTGGCTAAAAGCGAATAAGTTATCTTTAAAAAACTCCAACACAAATTTGATTTTCTGTAATAAAAGGGAATAATAGGCTAGTACCCACTTTAAAGTCTTTTTACGCAGTAACAAAATTGAGCAAACTAATAGGATAAACTATTTGGAGGGCGCGATCGACGTTAATCTAGGCTGGAAACCGCAAATTAGTCAGCTAGCCAGAACGTTATCACAAACCGTTGGTATTTTTTACAAACTAAGACACATTTTGACTTTTGAAACGCTAAAAGTAGGTTATTATAGTCTGTTTCACTCTCGATCGCAATATGGAATTCTCATTTGGGAATCAGCATCTAGCATCTTCCTTACAGCCAATCCAAGTTCTACAAAATAAAGTACTAAGGTGCATATCATTTGCTGAGAAAAGTCGCACAACCAACCTCCAACTTTACTGTCAGCATGCAATTATACAGCTGTCAGAAATGCATACCTAGGAAATAGCAATACATTATTTTACACATGCCCTCTGAACTCCACAATAAACATGATTTTAAAGTGTCGAATCATACAAAGAAAAAAAAATATTTGCCTACTCATTTTCAGTCTTTTTATTTTTTAATTTTATACTGACACAATACAATGAATAACTGGGTACACGCAGTGTAAACAAAATTGTCAGGAGCCTCGGTGACCTGTAAAAGACCTTGCATACTGACCTATATAACTCGATGTTTAAATTATTCACTGCACTGTCCGGCATAAATCCGGCCAATGGAGCATTTTCATCTCATTTTGAATAAAAAATATACGGAATAAAAATATATTGAGTCAAACACTTAGATCACGGTTATAATACAATTTATTCTTTGGGCTATTAAAAAACTAAAAATATATACTGTATATAGGGCAGACTACGACTTAATTGATATAATGTATGTTGTAATATGTATATTAGAATGAAATTAACCAAGATCATATTGTTAATGCTGTATTTCATTGCTTCAAATTTTAAAAGACGGAGTTCCCAATTCCGTTTCCTGAAACAAAAAATTTGCTTTTGACTCAAGTCAATACAGAATATATATGGAATAAAAGTTTAGGGGTAGTCGCTCGTGTAACGAACTGCTATATATCTCAAGCTCTTTTTGTATGAGGGAAAAGTATTTCTTAGTCAGTCTACGTCCGTATACACTCTATTGTTTCGATCTGCCATTAAATTAAACAATTGGCAAATTGCCCTCCTTAAATAAATATTGATATAAAAAATTTTGAAAGAACTTTTCCGGCAAGACAAACATTACCAAACTATAGATACATTATACCTTAATACTATACCTCACAATATAAAAAAGCGAAACATTAAGTCGCACCACAAGTCAATTCAAAGTATGATCGTCAAAGTATTTTGGCAAAACATTCATCAATATAGGATTCAATTATTACCATGAAAATAGAAGATCACGAAGCATCGAACAAGCGCGAACGAATAACACGATTAGCTATATATACAATTACTCAATATTCAACAAAAATTACTGTGTCTTTTCAAAAGTACGCCCTTCCTTTATGTCTTACCCCTCTTTCACGAAACGTGAATATTTTAAATTGTGATAGAATAATTGAACTATTCTTTACTCTACGAATCAAAAATGGTGTCGTAAAGTTTACGTAGGTAAGGTCGTTTATGTGGTTGAAAAGGACGTTTGAATTTTGAGGTTATAATATATATATTGTGAAATTTTGTTATAGAAATTTAGCTAATATTCATTGAGTGGTTTGGGGGTATACTGAAATGTAGTTTTATATTTCAAGTATTAAGAAGATTTCTTTTTTGTTTCTAAAATAATGTTAAATTCTTCGAGAAACTGATATCGATGAATTTTTTGTTTTTTCTCTGCGAGTATGGTCTTTCAAAAATATAAATTTGAGAAAAACGGTATGAATGTGTATTTAGAAGTAATCCTTCAAAATATTCGCTTCTCAGCAAAGTAGATTCAGTGTATCATGTCTTTATTAAATGTTTAATCGGAAGTGTCAACATCTCCAACAAGACTAAGGCTTGAGAATGCATTTTAATTGAGAACTCATTTTACTATTTTGAGGTTTCTAAGATGTAGTTTTCAGTTGATAAATCCTTCAGTTCTACAGCAATTGTTTTGTTCAGCTGTCATTCGAGGAGAGAGTTTATTGTTTATTGCTTTCTTCTATGCATTGCAGAAAAAACAAGCAATGAAGAATAATAACACACATTTCAATAATATGTTCTAAAATATTCTTACGTAAGGCTAAAGTAAAAACGGGTTTTATAGATCGGGACGTACGTCCTCTATTAACAGATATATGTTATGAATAACAATAATCCTTTGTTAATTGTTTCTTTATTTGTTTTTACCTTCCACGACCTGTCTTAACAATTGAGCAACGACCGCACAAAGCCAATATTTTCGTTTGGAGGATGCTTCATATTTAGATGTAGCTCTTTACCTATATTGATTTTTACTACTTTGGTCGAATAAGATGTTATTGAAGTAAATGTAGATGCACGCAGATTTTCGTGAAACAGCAAACTACTCTAAAATGAAAATTTGGATTTGGGTAATCAACTACTAAACAGGACTCAGTATGTAAGACTGTTTAAAAATCAACAATCAGTCCTAGCTGGTATTGAAGTACATGAATGTCTGGGTAGAACAGGGTTTAGAATGGACCTTTACGTATTCTTGCACACAGTTCAATTGGGTAATCAACTACTAAACAGGACTCAGTATGTAAGGCTGTTCAAAATCTAATAATCAATCTTAGCTGGTATTGATATACATGGATGTCTGGGTGGAACAGGGTTTTCCAACCCTTTCATTCAATTGGAAAATTTAAAGATCGCTCGTGTACTCCCAAATTGTAACTGGACAAAATAAGTCGTGTAAACTGCGAAAGTAGACTTGGTGGTTACTGTAGTTGTAGTTAAAGCTTTCACCGGGGTGAAATTGCGACTTCCAGAGAAGTTCTACAAAATTTTAACGTCGGGCGTAAAAAAATATTTTTGGGCAAATTAGAAGTCTTGTCTAATGTATCCCCTGAAAAGTCTAAATTTACCCATGGGGGTGCATGTACCCCAGTTTAGGAAGCCTTGGTGTAGAATATATGTGTGGACTATAGAAAATATCTGAAAAATTGAATTGCAGTAAAATTTTATAAAGCATGGTACACTGTAATCAGTCTTTGTAATTTTAGTAGAATTTTTCATAGCTCGTATTAAATTTGAAAGATCTAAATTCATACAAACAAATATATTTTTAAATTTTGGCTAAATACATATATATTATATATCAACAAAAATAGCTATTTTTGGTTCAGGAATACATAGAGTAGATATATTTTCAAAATAGAAACGTATTTTATAATACGTAATAATTTATAATACAAGTGAGTAAAATTGCTGCTTCATGATGGATGGCATCGCTCGTGTCAATGTTGATCCTTACGTAATGGAATATGTGATGCATTGCATGTATGATACATTCCTGAAACTACAACAGGTAATTTTTTTCACTTTATTAATTAAATCTATTTTTTATATAAATCTAAGTGAATTATCAGTAAAGTCGAAATCTGCCACTGGCGACGAGTCACGTAGGCCTATGCCTGTTCAAGTTTTCTCTTAATTCTAAATACTAATGTGAAAGGGCAAACACACGATAAAAGCTACAAATACTCAACAAATACATTGTTCAAGTCTATTGAATAGAAAATTACTTGCTTGTTTGATTTCCAAACATGAATCATTCCCATGGTAGTCTGATTCAATTCCTTATTAGACCCTTGCTAACGCACGTTGTCATGTACATTTTTATATACATAATTTATATAAACTAGTTCAGCTAATTTTTAAGGTTAAAAATCCATGTCCATAAAAACCTAATGACATACAATAATATACAAAATATACGGTGCGACGGTTGATACCGGCTTGAGGCTATATTTCTGGTCGCCTTTTGTCTCGATATATATAAAAAATTTCGTGCAATTAAAGCTATTGTCTAGGAAGTTTCAAAACTTTTCTAATCGATCGTGTGACGTATTACGTAGTTGCATTTCTCTTTGCATGAAATACAGCATCTTGCTTTGCTCGACAGCATAAAACGGAAGTCGAGACTATATATTACGTGGTCGCCAGCTTTTAGTTTATCTTGATAATAATGACAACAAAATGATTAGTCTAGCAAAATGAGTTGCATCGCGGACAACTCTAAGAGTTATATATGTATTGGACTATATTTTTTCTTCACTGGATTAACAAATACGATTATCTTGCCGACTGTAAATGGATATCTTATATCTTTGGACGCTCCTAATGGTTTTCTTGGTGCTGTAGTTGCTTCATTTAGCCTCACAGGCTTAATTTCAGCGCCAGTATTTGGGTTTATTACTGACAAGACACAGTCATTGAGGCTATGTCTTATTGTTAGCGCCCTAATTGAAATTGCAGGAAATTTTATGTACTTTGTTGGTACCAGCTATAGTATGCTATGCATAGCAAGATTGGTTGCCGGTATAGGTTCAGGGGCTGCCTCGTCAGTCCTCGGAGTTGTGTCTAGAACAACTTCGCTGGGAAAACGTACATCTGTCATATCAGTTCTCACAGCTTTGCGTAAATTTGGAGTTGCGATTGCACCATCATTCAACATTATACTTCACAATGTCAATGGCAGAATGGGACTCCTCTCAATAAATCAATTCAGCTCGCCCGGTTTGGTTATGACTGGAGCATGGACGATCCATTTGCTACTACTAACAGTTTTGTTCAAAGACTCAGGGACAAATACGAGGCAAAACGCTTCCGAGGTCAAATACCAACAGGCCACCAATGAAAATGAGTCGGAATTACTTTTAACTGAAGATATACACAACGGTAGCTTACTAAAACACAAACTTAATCTAAAACAATTTATGCGGGAAGAAGTGATAATTTGTATTTCCGCTAACTGTATTTTTGTTGTAGTCTTTAATGGTCTCGAAACAGCCGCCACGCCTCTTACTTTGTTATACTTCAATTGGGATAGCTTATATAACAGCTATATGTTTTTTGCTGCGGGATTTTGTGTACTAATAAGCTATGTTGTGCTTGGAAAATTGAGCAATCGATTTTCAGATCGCACGTTTTTGCTATTAGGCTGCGTAGGATCGACTATTTCATATTCGCTTATAACTGTTTGTTCATTCATATTTGTTTTAAATGAGAACATTGAAACTCCTCATTCAGTTCTACCTTTAGTTTGCCTTTCAATATTCTTTCTTGGAGTTTCTCTGCCTTTTGTTTTGGTCTCAATAACGTCACTTTTCTCCAAAATAACAGATTTAGAAAATCAAGGATTTAACCAAGGAATCTTGTTGGTATCAAGAGGAATTGGTTTAATCTTGGGCCCAATTTGGGGATCATCTTTAGCGACCAGAAGTAGAATGCCAGTTTTGGGCAGTGTTGATTTGACTTTGATTTTGTTTATGACTGCACTGATTTGCATGTCTTTTAAGAAGCTTGTTCCGAATACCCAACAATAAATTTCTTAAGCAACGCCATGTTAGATTTGAACATACGAACAACTGAAGTCGAAGACTTAAAATAAGAAACGCACGTTAAACGTAAAAAATTAGCTATGCAGATTTGTTGCATCAATTTCTCGGTTGTAGAAACAATTGCAAATGTTTCTTAGTGTCAGTTTTCTTTAAAAATAGGTTTGATGAACAACTACCATGTGCGAAAGATATGCCATCCGCCAATATCCGCGATATTGGTATTTCTGTATATTTTACTTTTACGGATATTCTGTTAAATTGGGCGGATTTACAGCTTTGTTTTTGTGTTTTTTTTTTCATTTTAATGCTATTTATTAAAATAAATTACCTTTATTCTTTGTGCAATATCTATTTGTTAGAAATTAGTGAAGTGGTTTCGAATAAATCTTGAAAATTTTTTATGAAAAAAGATAGATTCCCATAGGGGGGGTACACACATGCTTCCCTGACAATTTCCACTTTGGTGGGGTAAAATAGTAATTTCATTATTAGTATTATTTTTATGTGTTTGAATTGCCCTTAATAAAAAAGTTAAGATAAGGTTGTCTAAATTTCATCAATAAAAAACGAGTTGATTTATTGAATTTATTTCCAAACATGAATCATAAATAAAGTACGAGTTGATTTATTGAAGAATTGAGACAAAAACAACAAAGGTTTGAAATGAAATATGTCTGTATACACAATGTACGAGACTTGCATATCAGAGATAGTATTGTGGCTTTAAGTGAGCAGAAAGCAAAATCCATTGTTGATACAAATGTCGAACCGCATTTCCCTGCCTCGTTGTCAGCCCCTATAGCAGCGTAAGAATGGTCGGTCTGTAATGAGTTCTTTTTTTGTTCGATTTTGTCTCCTGTGACAGACTGGATACCCATACTACTTAGTTTTGGCCGTCTTGTCCATCCTTATGTCTGAACATCGCTTTCTTTTTTGATTTCATATGATATTGCTTAGGTGGGTATGTTTTCTCGGTAAGATATATATATGTCAAGGAATCGAGAATCGGAATCGAAAATTTAGGAATCGGATAAGAATCGAATACTTGTAGGCCTAAGTAGTCATACTTAGCAATTAGCATCCTTAGAGATAGGCAGAAGAGAATCAAGTTATTTTAATAAAGGATAAAAAAAATGTTATTATCCGGAATATCATATGTCGCAATATTATCATTCATATATAAGATTTATCACTGCGATCATCAATTACCAATATATTTAGGGATTAAGAGTATCAATATCATGGCGGAAAGACGACGATTCGGTAATGTTAACTTCAACTTCTCGGCCTGCTACAAGAGATCTACACCAGGCATTGAATCGATTCTTTGTAATGTATAACGCCGTAACGAGGAATCTGACATTTGAATATTGTCAATTGAGCAAATATCCTGATATTAATCTATCAATTGTGAATCAAATCAGAGACAGATATCCCAGGATCAACATTCAAAGTGAGAGATAAATAATTACATTTCATTTATATTATTTGTCTGAGAACAATGGCCCAATGGTATACGCGTTGGCCGTGCTATATCAGCATACCAGACCAGAAGTGTAAATCTTCAATATTCATCCCAAGCTCATCGTCACCTCATCCATTTTTTAAGAATTTTGGCGGCACTGATAAGATTCTGATCTTTAGAAAATTCATCTAATATACTCATAGGCATACGTGACTGTTTGAAATACAGCCTCCTCCATATGAATTTTGATATAACTCATGATAAATAATTTCAAAGTCATTTCATGATCGTTTTCTCCCAGTATTGTTATTGTTGGTGTCTTGTATAGCTTTAAAAACAGACTAACAATTCGATAAATTGGCAACATACAACCATTTGAAAAAGTCTCGACTAGGATATGAACTCGACTGCTGGAAATTCAGTGGTATACTGAATAAAGTAAACGGTCAAAATTCATTTCTGCAAATTGAACTGTTACTTATTGTTTGGTGGAACGTCAAAGATGTAATGTTATCTCACTTTACGTTTATATTCCAGAAACTAACAATAAAGGAGAAATCAAAATTATCGGATTTAAAAACGAAATTACTCAAGTTTTGTCTTTTATTCGTGAATACGTTCACAAAAATTCAAGAATCCCGGAGCAACGGACTATAGTCTTGGTGGATCACAGGCAGCGTCTGCCTCGACAAGAAAACAGGTCTTTATCACCAATGAGAGATATTTTCTATCTTATTCACTTGACTCATAACATTGCCCAAAGTGATAGCTCTAATAACGAATTTTTGAATGGCAATTTACGATGACATATCCTTACCTTTTCAGTTCATTCAAAATATGGATCGGGCTACGAGTCCATTTTTTTAATAGTTTTTTACTTGCTTTGTGTGAATTCTCCTAAACAAAAATCTTGCTCGCTCTGAAGAACAGCGCTACAAATACTATGTTTTCTTGGTATACATTTTTGGCCAATTGCACATACTGCAAATCGGATTCGCCTCAATGTTTTCAAGACCCATCCATAATTGTACCAAAGATGGGTGATCTCGACCAGATAAGTTCAAAATAGTTTGTTACTACTAATACTCGCATTGGTAAATTAAAGAGCACTAAAATTCAAAATTTTGTAACGAAATGGAATTTTGGCTTTCATTATAAATACACTGACTCTGAAATAACATGCGCTTTTTCAATTTAGGACTCCGCCTGATGACCACTTGTTATACCAAGGTAAGGTTAAGCTGTTGGTTTGTTTTACTAAGGTGAGTTGTTAATCTTTTGCTTCAATTTTTGGGTTTTATGGATATATAAAAACATACGGTATATTGATCTTTTTTTCAAATCAGATTTTTCACTGTATTTTCTACAAATAAAATTTTCACCTTCCATTCATCAATGTACCATTGTCAATTTTCAGCTCGAATTATCATATAATACTTTTTTCAGATGAATTGTCACTGGAGAATCCAAAAACAATGTTGTTCAGTAAATCATTTGAAAAGAAAATTTCAAGTTTCAAATCAAGACGACAAGAATACTTGACACAAAATAGCAATTCACCGCCATCACGTTACAGCACGTCAGAGGTACAGAAAGTTAATATTGCATTGTGGTTAGTGGATTTACTTTAGCATGTTGTTACAACTTTTTGGAATCGAATAACTAACCACAACATGAAGTTCGCTTTATGTAATGCGGGTGAATATTCCAAATCTGAATGTTCCACCATACCTCTGGAGTGAAGTGGTATCCTGAACTAGCTAGAGAAACGAAAATATGGCTCAATAGTCCCTTTTGTGGCTATAAGAAGATCGGAGTAATTTTGGATATTTTATCTTACTCATAAAACATGATCTTTTTCACTTTGTTTAAACATGATAAAACAATAACTTTCTATTTTGGATTTTTTGTTTGAAAAAGTATTCACTCATTATGGAAAAATTTTAGCTTGTTAACGAAAGTTACTTAATATTTTTTCAATTACTTTCCTTCGTGGTATGAGACAAAACAGAATAATTTAAGATACAGATGTGCAAGAATTTATTTGGAAACTAATTTATGATATTTTTTCCAAGATACGTCGACTACAGCAAAGTCAAACTACTAAAAAGACATTGACTTTGCCAAAAATCAATGCGCGAACGGAACAAACTCAGAATCTGGTGAAAAAACATCACGAGGTAACTAAGATTATCAATCTTTTTATTTATTACACGCGATGCATGTTTCTGTGTAAAATATACATTCCAATACACTCAATCTACTTTGCACTTAAACCGGCTTCATCTCATATTGCCAGATAAGAAGTCTCCAATGAGGACTCTCGTATTACGACTGGATACACCATTTATCCATCTCTGCAAAGCTATTTAGCCATTTTTTTACTGTCGCTTTTCAGACCCAGAAACGATAAGTCGCTTTGCCAGACTTGTTTTATTCGGAATATTCAAAGCGTTTGACTAAAATATACATGGAAGAATTAGCACCAGATAAATTATCGAGGGCAAATCATACAGAATACAAAACTAATATTTACACGAAACAACACCATATAACAGCATAGTCCAAAAACGACAGAAATACAACCAAGGAATAAAAGTAACTTTAAATGAAATACAATACGAGCTGTAGATGTGAAAATATCACGCTATATCGAACAATTCGAATTATAGTAAAAAAGGACACTATACAGTAAACGATACTACTAAATTAATTCAAACCACAGCGCTATAAAAAGCAATGCAACCATAAACATCTTAATGATCTCCATAGGGACGCTAGGAAACCAAATACGCAAAACGACGACACGTAAGAAAGAAAACAGCAAATATACAATTAAACGAATCACACGGACTGCCGACAATTACCATCCTGTTTTGCAGTTAAGAAACTAACCATTCCATGTAATTCTTTCCAAATTCCACGATACTCCATCCTAATCGTAATTATTTTTTCATTTGTACATAGATTAGAACGACAACTGGTCTGATAGTTTCTACCTGCCTACAAGATGCAATATCTGATGAACCTATCTCCGAAGTACTGGTATCAGAAATATCCCCTACTGGTAGACTCTCTGACGACATCATGTGGATGGTTGCGAAACAACGAAGTTTTGAACTCACAAAAATCATTAGGCTTCACATTGCTCTGTATGGACAAGTGTCGCCTTCTAGGGTACGAGAACAGTTGACGCACCTTATCATTTTTCTTTAAATGTAAATAATAAAAGTAGACAAACTGTCTGAGTGAATTAGTTGCTGGGCAGCTATAATATAATGTCATGTGAAATTAAAAAATACCGGTAAAAACTTTCACGTCGATTCTCGAAATTCAGTTTTGATTTACCCCAAAATCCACACTTCTTATTATTCTTGTAAAGCCAAATGGTTCAGTGTTTCCTTTCATGAACCCTCGTCAAATTGTCTTTATTGTAATTGTAGTGACTTGAGCAAGTTTACGTCATCGGATTATTGAAGCTATCATAATAAGTTACATTTGAACTTTCCATGAAATACCACACACATGGCCATACTTTTAACTACGTTACTGATGTGTGTCTACGTTACTACGGTGTTATCTGGATACATAAAAATATGAAAAAATGTTTAAACTTCGGATCTTTTGTAGAAAGCCTCCGCTAAAAAACCACCCCGTCACCGCTCAAAATAAAATAGTAATTATCCAGATATATTTTAAAATGTGTAAATTGCGCTTGAAATTCAAATCATTCTAACCCGAACCGGATTTTTTTTATTTTAATTTTTTTTTATTTTTAATTTTTTATTTTAAATATGGCTGGGGTGATTTTCTGAAATCTCATAATTTTTGAATAGGTGGCCACATAATTGCTAGTATCGCGTATTTTAGTAAATGTAATATGTATTTTCAACAGGTTATCGTGACACCTGGATTTAGACTTCCCTACACTCATATTATTCACGTCGCTACTCCATCATGGGAAGATGAAAATCCAAAGAAAAGTTTAAGAAATTTATTCACTGCATATAAAAACGTCATACGGATAGCAGATACGGATTTAAATGCGACAAGTATTAGTATACCTATTTTGGGAAGATGTTCAACAGCAGGTGTGTTGGATTTTATTTCATATCAATGACACGATCAGTAGCGCATTTCTTGAGTCAATGCCACGGTAAAAAGGTCATCTCTGAATACGGCGCCAGGCTTTTAAAAAATATATTGACTTTTGTCAAGACAGATTCAATAATATACTTTTCAAAATGTCAGTTCGAGTAATTCCAGATTATACGGAATTTGAACTGAATTTTAATAATATCTCGGCATTTGAGCAGAGTTTGCTAAATCAAGGCTGCCAAATCAATATTTACAATTATATGAGAAAATAGAGTCCCACATGTTCAATCAAGACTACTTCAGATTTGCTGAAAACATAGCCTAGCGTGATGAGATTTATTTATTCTTAACGCGACATTGCGTATTCCTTTTTAACTTAGGAATCCAGGGCTCAATAAGTTAAACACATATATATGATTAGAAATTTCCATCTGAGTGATGCTGATGGTTTGAAAATCTAACTCAATCCAATAATATTCGGTTTAAATAACAAGGGTAATGCCTGGCGTGTAAACCTTACTAGTATGAACATATTTCCTTGTGTTGTTCCACAGGTCGAACATTTCCTGAACACCAAGCATTAGCTGTCATGAGGCAATCAGTCGTAGGCGTCACAAAATCTGGTCTTCAGCACATACGTCACTTGAGAATTCTGTGCTCACGTCAGAGAGAATTAAATTTTGTAAAGACAAAGCTGTTTCCACAACTAATGTTTGTAACGTATGACTCACGGTAGGTTTTGTTTGGGGTCATTTGTACGCGTGGGGTAAATAGTAACTGGGTGTGTTATATGGGTTTGTCTGTAACCAAATTCAGAGATACCTTAGTGGGCACGCGATTTGTATTTGTGACGCAGGAGTTTACAAATGTGATTCAATCGAGTTTTCGGTTAATAGTGATTCATTCATGGCCTTTTCTACCCCAAACCTAAGTAGAGGTTATTAGGTCACGCATGATACAAACACTAACCTACCGATATAATAGGTGAGATAGGATTATAGCACGAGCGTGACGGCTTTTAACCACTTCCTCTTATATCCCATAAGAAGTTAAAACCCTTTTACCAGTTCTTCGGAATAACTATCTATTCTAGACCACACGCATTTTTGAAACAATAATTTCGTTTTTGTTAGTTTGCCATTTTTGTGGTTGTTATTATAAACCGACACTGTATCTTTGTCCCTTGTTTCAAATTACATTCTCCATACCATCATATTGGATTATATAAGCAATGTTATGGATGAAAATTTTTTTTTTAAATTATTGAAAATACCAATGTAGGATTGTCAAATTTTCTGAAATGTTTTGTTTGAATTTGAATGTGGCGATTCGACAAATAAAACAAGGCTTTTCCTTGTTTATTGTTTCATATAGATCATATATTTTAGATATCCCATGTTCAGTTTATGCCAAGACTTATCTGAATTACCAAGCATAATAAGAAAAACAATTGCATAATCTCTTACCAGCTTGCATTGATCACACAAATAAAATGTAAATATCTTCACTCGAGTCATCTCGGCTTATATAACACAAAATGCGTGTCATTAGCCAAGTTAACATTTCAAAACATTGTGGTTTTAAGGTCGTCGCTGTCAAAGACAACTCGCAACGACAACAAACGTTCATGAAATATCGCAACCAATTCTGATTTTTTGCAACTTTTATTTTCGTTAGCAAGTATTGGACATTGCATTGTATTCGTAAGTGCGATGAATCTCATGCCTACCAAATTAATCATCCATTTCAAATATTATCTTATTGGGTAAATTGTAGACAATTTAATAACTTTACTATTCCAAAATGGGATCAAATTAATTTGTGATATTTATTAGGTGCAAACAATTTTTTAATTTAGAAAACATCTTTTGCAGAAAACTCCCGTCAAAAACACAAACTCGCCACCGTTAAAAAAAAGTCAGTAATCAACCGGTTAGGGTTTGGCTTTCTACCAAAAATCAGAAAAAAATTAAAATTTCGTTTTTAGATATTTATCTCAGCAACAACAAAGATATTTTAGAAAGCGAGACGAAGAGGAAGTTGATATATATACTGATGACGGGGCACTCTTTTGAATTACCATTTCCAGATTGAACAAACTACTATTAACGTTTTGCAGAATTTTATTTTATGAAACTAAAATTGACTGTAATCTAGAATCTAAGACAGCGGAAACGTCAAGCAAAACTAGTTCAAAAAAAAAAAAATTTATTGCGCCGTTTTTATTTTGAATTCAGTTGATATAAAAGTGGACAAAATATAATTGAATTAGTATAATATTTATATCGTTTTGCAAAAACAAAAATATTTTTGCATTATTTGTCAAATATTTTTTAATTTCAAAATGTTTTATTATGCATGACAAAAAAAATTGGATACACAACAAAATACACTAGCTTTTTTTCAAGCGTCATATGCATATGGCAAAAAGGTTCTTTTGTAAAATGCTTGAGAAAATGACTGTTATATTTATATTTTTCGTGTTCCGTGCGCTACCCAAAATGATGCAACAATGCGTCATGTTACAACATGTACAGTTGAATCATGTTTGTAGAATTGTATTTTTATCATTATAATTTACATTGATTAAAAATATTTCTTATATATTGCAGTTGTATTTTTTGGACTGGGAAGTTACAGGTGTGATAGGCAATCGTAAATAGCTGGCTGTCGCCATTTTGAAAAACGGAAGCTTTCAATATAACAATGCAAAATTTTTTAATGGATATAAAGCTGTGTAGACTCACTTTCCGTGCATTAGTTTCAAAGATGCAAATGCGAATATTTTTGGTCGTTTATTCAACACGATTTTACCAAAATAACGCATTTTGAGTTTTAAATGCAAATCATCATTTCACGTTATTCTAAGAATTGAAATTTGAGTCACGGATCTTCCTCACTACACGAGGAAGTAAACTAATTATTTACGGCAGTTTCTAAAATCTTCTCAATTTTGACCCATTAGTCAGAGAGTATTATAGGTGACATTTATTCAAAAACAATGGTTTGAATAGAAAACACCATTATGGTTGCTTCAATTTTCGTATTTAGTGCAAAACATGAATAGGGGGATTGTATTTTGACATCAAGTACCACACACAAATTGCCTGCCCCAAACAAAAGAGCTTAAGTTCGAAAATTCAGGTTAAATGGTATTTTGTCAACAATTTTGAAGACATGTAGACTGTAGAGGATGAACCTTAAACGACAGTTAATGTTGTCAAAAGTTGGGTTTAACTCCGCGATTTAACATTTTTCATATAGAATGTCATTTTTTGACAGTAAACGTTAAAATGCGTTTTTGTTAAAAATAAATATTTATAAATTCTGATATAAAAATTGTCGCAATAAATTTTGCAATATTTAGTTGGATTCAAACAATCACTAAAATATAAACTAAAAGCCAAATTTAAACATCAATTATCTGGATCACGTTGATGAATATTTTTACAGTTCTCAGTTGTACAGTTACAGACTTTGATTGAATTGGTGAAAAATTTAAAGTAGAATTTTTTTTTATAATGTGGCACAATTATGCACACAGTAAACTTATTTGAACAAAGTGATTTCAATTTCTTTTTTGTTACATTTTATAACTCTTTACAACGTGGTTTCTGTTTATGAATAGAGTATACATTCCATTTGAGCTATTTGTTTGATAATGCGAAAACACAATATTCTTCTCTGTATTTCCACAACGGCAAACACGGAAAAAATAAAAAGTATGTTCCCGACGCAGCCATTTTTATTATAAATGTTTTGCTGTAGTTCGTGTGACCCCTGAAAATGCGTAAAAATGGGTCTTATACAAGATGAATCACGCCACACATTGTGGCACTATACGCGTGGTGTTAAATTCTTCACATAGTATCGGGCATAGTTGAAATGAATTGCGCGTATTTTTTACTCGGAGTTGTCATAGGATTTTGTCTGCAGAACATTAGCTTTGGAGCGGTAGAACCTAGGCGATATGATGGGTAAGTCAATTTATTCTATACTTTGTAATAATAAAATTGAATATTCTGAACGGATAACTAATTATTGGAAGTCGCAAATAAGGAGTGGGGTACAAATGATTATTTTGTAACAGGCATAATGGAAAAAGATTGGAAATATACCGGCTCTAACATACTTTACACCATTTTTTATTTTCTAGTTTACATGTAAACTATGATTCATATTCTAGAAGAGTTGATGTAAAACAAGATAATACAAAACGTGAGAGCTGTTTTTTTCGTCGTATTACGTGAACTGTATTTTCATCCAAATATTGTTGCGTGATATATATAGCAGTATTGCAGGAAAGATGGATCTACTTCAGAGTAATCAAAATAATTTCATTTATTCAAAGGTATCGCGTTGTCACAATTGAACCACAGAAAGACTCTTTTGAGAAGATTGATGCTCTATTAGCTTCATATCAGGTCGATACTAATTTGATTCAACATGTACGGTTGGGGTAGTTATTGATATACATTGATATTTTCGTTCGCTGTCCAGGGGTATTTTAGATGTATCACCTTCTAATTGTTTGAGACCAGCTGATAACGTTTGAAGTTAGAACACATAAAAATGAAAAATTTATTTTAAAGTATCATTCTGTAGTGCGACATATTTGATTTGTTTGTTATTTTTACTAATTGGCAGCTGGATATATGGAGGCGTCCATCCATTGTCAAGGCAAGTTATGACGTGTTGATCGCACCAGAAATATGGGATGTGATGACGACAGCATTTGACAAAGCGGGTGCTAAATACGTCATTACCATAGGAAATGTACAACAGCTGATTGAAAAGGAAAGATTCAGGCGTACACCAAGACGTGTCAGACGTCAACCGCGAAGATTTTCATTACACAGATACCACACTTTAGATGAGGTAGGTGGTATTGTTTACGCTTGGCTCTTCTTTAATTAAACATAAACTTATAATATTGAAAATTATGATAATAACCAAACAATCACGGATCACTGGCGTTTCCTTAACCCGCAATATTCAAGATTTCAAGAGTGCAATTTTTTTTGTTTTTGTTACAACATTAAAATTTGGAGGTTTCGTGAGTTGGGTGGATAAATATGCAACTTTGCGAATAGTCAATTATATAAAAGTAGAAAGTACACAAAATTCGATAAACATCCCAAATTTGCAGTATCTGTCGGACAAAACGAGGCAGTCACATTCCATACATGCTTCGAGATTCTTCCAACGCATCGCAATGTTGCAAAAAATAACAAAAAGTTGACTGATCGAAATATTTTTAAACCTTCTTTTCTAGATAAGAAGATGGATGTATCATTTTTCAAGGGCTAACAGAGACATCGTGAAAAGAGTGCAAGTAGGAATATCTTACCAGGGGAGAAGAATATTTGCTTTAAAAGTAGATTTTTTATTCTATTTTGTGATTCAATGGAGTTTGGCAAATTTCCCTGTTAGTAAAATAAAAGTCTTTTTACGCGTACGAACATGATAAATAATACATTAATTATGTTTATATTCATACATCAACTTATCAAACGTACGCGTCTACCAATCATATCAGCCAATTACTACTTGAGAAATGACCAAAAAATCATTTCAAATAATATAAATATTATTTCAATTAGATTGGGGTCCCTTCCGCCAACATAACAAAACGCATTATCTGGCAAGATGCTTGTATTCATGCAAGAGAGTGGGTAACTGGAGCTACATTGATTTGGTTGTCGAGAAAACTTGTCAAAGGATACAGAGAAGGAAACTCAGACATTGATCGTTATTTGACTGAATTCGATTGGTATATATTACCGATTTGGAATGTTGATGGCTACTTGTACACCTGGACAAAGGTGAGTTATTAGTACATTAGAAAATGTAGATATTAGTCAAATAGCATTATTGGCGCTGTTTGCTGATGGGCAGTGCGACTAGGTGTTGGATTCAAACGACGTATATGTATGTGTCTTTTGGGTCCTTTGAGTAATGAGTCCGCCACGTAAATGAAAAAACATGGAATTTATCACTCAGTCAGCTAAGTTGTCACGCATAATAAATCATGTTCGCAGCGCTTTCAGTTATAAACCTAAAATTTGTGGTTTCTTGCCAGCCGATGAATGCAAGATATTCAATGTCTGCATACAAATTTTGTTTCAACAAATGGTGATTAAAATCTATGCTATTCTTGACGTATCTAGCAATATGCAACGTGATTAAAATATTCTGCATAATATAATAGACCCGGTATTTTATTTTAAACGTCGGTTTCATCTAAATGTAACATTAATCATTTAAAGTTTTTCCTGAAAAACAGATAAAAAAAACTTTTTAATATTTTTTTGTCAAATATTTTATAATCAAATCTTATTTTATTAGGATAGAATGTGGAGAAAATCAAGAAGTGAAGCAGGATCTTACGGATGTTATGGTGTTGATTTGAACAGAAATTTCGAAACACCTAATAGAGGAGGTAACATATTTTATATGGAATATCTAAGAAAATGATTCATAAATTATATCATAATGAAACATCGATTAATATAAAATATTTCTACTGGTTGAGTATTTTATAAAGATAGATAGAGAAGATCGTACATCGCGCGGAAAAATATTGTACAAAAACAGGCCGATGACGGGTATCGAAAACCAACCTCTAATTTTGCGCCATTTTGAAGTTAGAATCCGACTCCAATTCGAAAATCTTTTCAAATTGTCGATGGAAATTTTAACTACCCGGAAGTTGTCAGTATTTTTTTACTATCCGGTACCGCGAAGTTTAAAATACGATTCTGGCCTCGACCAGCATAGTTTTCCAAAAGCTCTTACAGTATTAGTTCGTCCAAAAATAGTAGATATTTTATTTTATTGCTATAAATGAAGTGGCCGGAGTTTCATAACAAATACATTTAGCTATAGCGTCTAGTATAGATGCATGCAATTCCGTAAAATGTAAAACTAAATATGTTATATGAATACTTTTAAAGGAATTGAGTGGTTTCCTCATTCTTTATTTTCAAACACTCCAATGGTAAGCTCAATAAGAAAATTTATAATGTATTACAATAATTATACTCAATTCTTACATTATAGCCGGTACAGCCAGTGACAATCCATGCTCAGAAGTTTACCATGGTCCGAAAGCTTTTTCTGAGTTGGAGTCATCTTCAGTTCAAAAGTTCATGCTGAAGAAGCGATCCCATCTTGCTGCTGTTATGACATTACATTCATATGCTCAATATTGGCTTTATCCATATGGATATACCAGTGAACATAGCCCCGACAATGATGAATTGGTACGTAATTGATCTTGATGAATATCTTTGGATATACTTTGAAAATACTATTATCAAATATAAACCAGAATGCAGATTACTCCCTAGTTACTTATCGATCTTAAGATCGGTAAGTATGTTGATAGATATTTGTCTGTCTGTTTGTTAGATGCACGCGATATCTCACGAAAGCGTTGAATCGGCTCCAAATTTTGCATGTGCATTCATCATAGCTCGGATCAGAAGCCTATTGATTTTGGATGGATTATGTCTTATGATTAGCGAGTTCTTAATTAATTAGTGATGGGACACACGGTGTCACTATGGAGTAAAACCACAGTTTTGGGGGATCCTCTAACCTTCGATCGATAAGTCTTCGGTTTCTAACCGATATTCTAGTTTTATTTTTATTTAATTTGAGACATAGCCACATCGCGATTCTCTTGCTACCAATTGCAAACTTTCGATAGAACATGGCAATAATATAATATCGTTCCGAGACATGCTACTGAATAAGCCAAATAGCTGCACATCTAAAACAACTGTTATTTAATATGTTATATTATTCATGTTTCCCAATAATCTATTCCAAACGATAAATTGAATTAAATTAAATGATAGGCATCGTCAACTTCTTCAGGCACAAAAAGATAAGACTTGAGCAAATCTTTATTAGATTACGTCGTTTCGTTGAGTCCTAGGAAATTAGGCGATAGAGTTTTTGTAGGAATGTTTTGAGTTTGCTCCAATATACCTAGTAAGCTATACAGAATGCAAATACATACCCGGTACTTGCTTACAAATGTGTTTTTATAATATTCAATAAACAGGAAAGAATATCAAGCGAAGCAGTAAAAGCGATGCATAAGAAGCACAACGCAGTTTACAAACATGGAACAGTGTCAGATATAGCATGTAAGTAAAAATCCACCGATATATATAAGTCCAATTTCTCAACAGTCAATTGATTTACAGATTTTAATATTCGTGATGTGATATTTTTATATTTTTTTTACATACATAACTAATCTTCGTCTTTATGTACTTTCATTTCAACAACATTCGCCAGCAACCCTGGCCTGGGATCAATAACAGTATTTATGAAAATGCATACAAACAAGATTTTACCCGAAAAAATAAATAAATAATTTTAACATAAATTGAAATATAAATACGAAACTACAAGAGCGTGGCAGTGTCAAGATTGGGAGTCAAAAAATGATATAACACCACAAAAATGGTAAACATGTCAAAATATGAATTTTTGATCAATGTTTGCAGTTGATAGTCAGTTCTGAGTGTCGGTGTGATTCATTCGGTACATATGCTGAATTATTTTACCCACAGACCAAGTATCCGGGGGCTCGATCGACTGGTCATATCGTGAACTCTGCGTAAAATACACCTTTGGAGTTGAATTGCGTGATACTGGAAAACACGGATTTCTTTTACCACCTCGTTACATCATTCCTACTGCAGAAGAATATTATGAAGGCCTTGAGGTTGTTGTCCGTCAACTCTTGCAAGAATCTCGCGAAAATGAAAGAAGTTCGTTTTGCACCCAACGTCGTGGAAGGGCCTGAATGAGGAATATAGTTTTTTGAATATTTATGAACTCGGTGATTATATAACTGGGTTTTTTGTTATTTGTAAATAAAATACTCAAATACCGAGCACGTTTTTATGAAAACAAATATATATTCGTTTGAGAATATTTCTTTCTAATAAACATGCCGTGTATTGAGGTAGATGTGATTTAAATAAACCTGTTACTGAAGAGTAGTAACACCATCAAATATTTATTGTAAACTGCATTTTGATGTGAGAAATCAGTGTCCTACTATTTGTATTGGTTTTAAACGAAAGTTTTAATAATTGTTGTAATTATCAACCAATTATAACCAATAAAAATGACCGATACGCTGATTTTCTAATACTCAAAAATATTTGATGTATTTACTGCCATTCAAGTCACGTTAGTTACATTCGCTTACAAAACCCTTTCCAATGTTAAACATGAAAATGTTAATAGCTAGATTCATCAATCTTACATAATTGGCAGATCGAAATATTGCCTACATTTGTATCCGAAAATTGTACCGTTTGAAATTAAAAAACGAAAATACTTGCACGACTTTCATTTGCTATATAACGACTGTACGGTACGGTTCTGATTACGTTATATACTAAATCGGCAAATTCATATGCCTGAGTAAACTGTATTGTAATTGTACTTTTTTTTTTTTACTTCAGAGCAGTTTCTATCTTGTCAAACGGGTCATCTATGGTTGCGGAATGAACTGGGTGTTTAAACTTATTGATTTCACTAAATTTTCTTCCATGTTGTGAATTGTGATATAGTTCAGTTATATCCGCGCGTCATATATATTTTTCTTCAGTTCCTAGGAAACTTTTAATTGAATTTTGTACAAAGACGTTGAAAGTAAACAATTGTTGGATTTGTAAGTTATGTTATTGTGTATGTGTGATGTGCATATATGTACTTGTTTTGAGTTTTCCGTCAAAACATGACCTGTGTTATGTGTAGGCGGCTTTGTCTTAAAATATACCTTGACTATTTCTCCTACTACTAATGAACCGGTCGAACAAAAATAAAAAGACGAATATATATATATATGAATAATCAATCGTGTGCGACCCGAAACAATATTATGGGAAAGGTTTCAAGCAAATACGGATTAAAGTGAAAATGGGAAAGGCTTAACCCAAAATATCTAAAAACTCATATTTGGCTTATATCCAAATCTTATGAAAACGACATTTTTCTTTACCGTTATAGATTTCAACTTGATAGAAACAGAAAAAAAAATTACAACAAAGGTATTTTGTATTTTACTTACGTCAAATATTGTTTTCTCTCTCTCAAAATGACAAAACGGCAAAGTTCTCTCAGTAAAATTCCTTGAAGCGAACATGGCAAATTACTTGGAAATATTTTTCTTGCGTCGTCGTATTTGGCTGGCAATTGAGCGTGTCCTTCGCTGTCATTTTTCGGAAGAAGAAAGGGCAAATCATCGGAAACGCGAGCTGAGCGAACAAAACATTCTAACTAGCATTGTTCACCCAAATCGAGTTACCGTTCGACCGCTAAATATCAACTCTAAAAGACGGTACCATTGTTGCAAGAAATAGGTCGTTTCAATAACAGCGTAATCAAATTAGTTGACCGCACCACATGATCGTCCAGACGAATAAGCCAGATAATGCGCCACTTCATTTTCATTTGATACCTGGGTTATTTATTCAATTCCTTTCCTTTTTTCTACACATATATATAGATATTATTATGACAGTTATAATTTACCCAAGTAACAGATGTCAACGTATTTCGAACGGGGACGCCGAACACCTATTATCTTGTGTTTACCGGTTCAATAAATCGTTACCTCCACATCAGTCTCAGACACCGGATTATTTTTGCGTGCCCTCATTTGCATTTATGAATATCGTTGTGCTGATGCTGAAAGTGAATACAAAAATACATAGAATATGAGAATTATAAATAAGCAGAATGTCGACAAAGTTTATTATATTGTAAAAATTAACGAGTACTGAATCAAAAATACGAGCCACGTCATTCCGCCCTTTTGCTTCAAACCTTATGGACAATGAGACAACGGCAACCATGTGTCGGTGTTTGATCAGGAATGAAAAAATTACGGTTGGATGCCGACTATACAAATATCGACGTATTCGGGACAGGTGACAAGCGTGGTTGTTCTCAAGCGTAAGAAAACGTGGTGATCTGTGAGCAAATATAAAGGGTTTCCCCACCCTGATTGCATTCCAGACTTAGTCAGGATTGTCATTTATCAAGCTTGAACCAAAGGTGAGTTGTGAAAGAATTGACCCGCGTTTAAGGGCTTGGTGATGATACATGAATGATGCAATAATGTCACTGTATTGCCACATTGTGATGTTGTTGCCCGTAGATTGACAAGTTTGTTAAACGAAAATTATCGTTCATTGGTTGGTGTAATATCTGACACCTCATCCTTTATGACACATTTCGTATTAAAACATATATTTATATGTATTCAGGCATGCGTAGCTGCCATTCCATGCATATTGCAACACCATATATTTTGGCAGATTGGGTATTTTTTTTTTCTCCATGTACTTATATTGCAGAAAATCTGCTACCCCACTTTCAACATTGAATGAACAAATTTCTTTACTTTTACATTTTCTGATAAAGCTGAAACTCATTAATCACAAACTAGGATTCTTCAGCCCACTAATATTCCTGAAGATTAGTTTATGATTATAACGGATATTTAATTTACTATTAAAAATGTTGTATTGTAATGTGCTAAGTGAGTAGGGGATTGCTGAAGATAAATGAGTTACGACATTCACATTTATTAAAACTGTTACATTTGAAATTGCTGGTTTTGGTTATTTGATTTGGTTTCATAATCGAATAAAAATTGTAGATTTAAAAAAACGGTTGTATATATGTAAAATGGCCATATTAACCAAAATATTTGCAATTAATTGCTTTTTAGAGATTGTTATTTTAGTATAATATGTACGTTACCATACCATATTGATCTGTGTTATATCCAAGCTACTAATTGTAGTTTGGCGTGGCATTGACGCAGTTTCATTTTCTGTTATTTGATGTCCGTTACGAAGTTTGTCGTTTCACTTATACAAGATCCTTTAACAGAATGGTAGCGATTCAAGTATGGACAGCGCCACAGTAAACAGATGAAGCCTCCTAACCGAAATTATCCAAAAAAAAAAACAAATTTGATATTTTTATAATAAATTACATTTATGGTGGTTATTTGTGGCATCGCCCACTAGAATTGGAACCAAATTTTATCTGCGTGACGTCAAATAGAATCTGATCTATGATTGTGATGTTTAAATTTTATATTTTATTGAACAGATGTAGATCAGGGCCAGGAAGCATATGGTGAGAGTTGCTATATTTGGAAAACATTAAGCACGTGCGTTTTGAATATTATATTTTGTATAATCTGAAGAATTCAATCACGCCTACCAGCACCAGCATGGAACAGAGTCATGTCAACATGCATCAATAGTGACCAGCTTAATCTCTCATTTGATAAATGATCAAAATATAGAGTGAAAACTGTGAGACTACAATGGAATTTTTATTTAAGATTTTTAAAACTATATAAATTGCAATCTGTTTTTAATGACGAAGTGTTTCACTTTTGTTTATTATTGCTATCAAAACATGTTTTTTTAAGTAGTATACGTAGTCGCTTTTCTGGTATCGCCTGATTATCCGTTTCCATGACGATTTGCCCGTTCTATGTTTAAGCTGTAAAATATACCGGAAAAGTAGTTTTTAAAAAGCTACTATTAGCAATCAAATTACCAATAACATAATGTTAGAATGAACAAAATCAGAATAGAGAATATTTCGTATCAAAACTTTCCCTAAGCAATCGAAACTTCTATTACTGGAAGCTTGCAATACAAAGTAGTTAATTTCGGAGAGCTTACTCTAAGCAAGTGAATGAACAGTTTGGTGTTTCTGTGACACATGCTCGTAATTAATCAATAACATGTTTATCAATAACATGCAAAAGTACGAGGACAAATACCCTGTTCAGGTTTCTAATGTTATTGGCATGTATTTGCCCATAAGAAAAGTAATAGTAGGCAAGTTGGGTAGGTTAGTAGGCTACTACTCATTTCAGTGCAGGAGCACAAACTAGCAAGCACACTGATCGTACTTATAATTGGAGGGCAAAAGACTTGCAAACATTACAAATAATTGCTTTCTCAAAAGAAATTCATATTTTTGTCTACATCATTTGGTATTTTTCGCTTTGAGTTCGATGGACGCGAAAATACGCTACGTTCGGCTACAGCCGTGGTTCTCAGTGTGGGCGTCGCGACGCCCAAGTGCGTCGTTTCAATTTTGCTAGGGCGTCGCAAAACTTTTCTCCTTTCGCGGAATAGTACATGCGGTGCGTAGAAAAATCAAAATTTTCGTTATTCTCGTTTGAATCATACTTGAAAACTGGAGATGACAATATATTAATTATTGAAACGATCAACCTTAATTATATATGTGGCCTTACTTGTTTCACGGGTCATTTAATACTGTTCCAATTATGACATCCACACCCTGAATCAGCTTGAGCCATGCATGTCATTCATTTATAATCTTTTTATGAACATGAACATATCGAGCATTGTTGAGCCTTGATGCTAGTGGTTCTTAATCTTTGTGAGCTTGCCGAACCCCGGCGCTATTCCGCAAGCCCCTGAAGAACCCCAAATTTTTGATGTAAGAGCTCAATCTGAACTTATTAAGGTCAAGTCAATTTTGTACGAATTTATAGAATATTCAACCGTCTTCAATTTATAGAATATGATTTCGTTGCCTCACTGTTGAGCATAGGTTAATTTTTAGGGTTAAATTTGAAGGACATGCTTTGTAAAGAGAATATCAACCACAAAAAAACGAGTTGCGCTATTCATTGGTTGTAGCAGAATAAATTAGAACAAACAGTAAACTTCATTAATTCATTAGATTTGCATTTGAACCCACGTACATTTGAACCCACGACAATTGCACTTGCATACTATTGCACCTATGGAAATTTTTGTTTTGTTTTACTGATATTTGAACCCATACTAACCCTAACCCATAGGTTTTAGCACCCGCATAGAGATTGAACCCGCGGATAATACACATGAGTTCAAATGTACGGTCACCATTAGGTTTATTAGTGACACTTCTGCTTCGTTTCAGAAAGAGCAATTCTTGTGTCATTTTTGCATTGGTGTCACGTTCAGTTGAGCAGGTAAAGCCATACTGCTCCTAGTCATTAAACCAAGTTTTTTTTCTTAGATGACATATTTCCCGAAGAAGACTCCTGTGAGAAGTTTTTGGAGAAAATAAACGTTGAACCACTCTGAAAATTGCAGTGCAATCTTATATATACTAATACGCCGTGCCAAAATGACCATCGTTATCACAATGGTCACAATCACATTGTTGTCACATTGGAGTCGGCAGAAAGGGATGGGCTGGGCATTTTCGATTACCTGATGATTTCAGAATCGAATCGAATATTTTTTTGCGACTGTATGCGACTTTTCATTGTAATTGGTCCTGTTAGCAAATGAATTACTGAAAACATAGAATACATCATTGAGACCAATTGCGGAGTGTTCACACACAATAACAAAACGCTTATTCATCAATAACTCACTACAGAAAATAGTCATATGTCAGAGTTGCATTGAAAAAAATATGGCCACAATAAAAAAAAAATTGAATAATCCACATCGACCATTGGCGGGAGGTAATAAACAAGATGGTGGCAATTCGAAATTTTGCTCTGAACCAATTCGAATAATTTCCTATACCATTCGCAGTGCCCAGCCCTACTGGCACAAAGTTTTTTTTTTTATTTTGGTATAGAAGTTGTGTCGATGGTAAGGTTAAAACCTATTAGTAGGTTAGATATAACATGTCATTTACGAAAATATTTAGGTTCAAAACCCCGATACGTGGAAGTCAGAAAGAATCTAAAAATGAGGCCATACACAGTGAGATACAGACGAGTCAGGTTTTCATGCGCGAGATGGCCGATTTGGGGGTTACACGAGCGCGGCTAAATAGGAAAATCGTTTTTAGAAAAGGCATTGTCTTTTCATAGAGTCATAGTGTGTTCGAGCTTATATAGCCATATTACAAAATAATTACAAGTAAAATTTCATATATTCAACTTTATTGTATCTTATAATAAACTACTTTGCAAGCAGTTTAAAATGGGTGAGATTCTAGAACGTCAATGAAGTGTTGTTGAAGTGTATATTTAAGCGCATTTGCTCAAAGCAAGGTCACATCACAAATAAGTTTATGGAGTCTGGTCGGTACACTGACAGAAACGCGTCAGAGCCTACCGAGTTTGAAGGCTGAAAACTTATTTGAAGGAAAGATCAGAAGAACACAGCTCATTATAATATCGGTTAAAAATAAGTAAAGCAGCCTAACATTGTGTCGATGTGAAAGTTTGCAGTTGGGACGCCAATCATATTTAACACTTTGGTGGCATCTTGTGGTGGTAATAAAATA